TCTATCTATCTATCTATCTATCTATCTATCTATCTATCTATCTATCTGTCTATCTGTCTATCTGTCTATCTGTCTGTCTGTCTGTCTGTCTGTCTGTCTGTCTGTCTGTCTGTCTGTCTGTCTGTCTGTCTGTCTGTCTGTCTGTCTGGTCTAATCTAGAATAATTTCTTCAGCCTTCTTCTTCTTCTTGTAGCATAATTAGCATGATAAAAATAAGTCTTCCCACCACTATTTAGGAATATAAGGAATACTCCCTGTAAACCGACTCTTGTGTTGATAAATTTGTTAGCTCCAATATGAAGTAAAATAAAAACGCACAAAAATAGAACAAACTTAAGTTCAGTTTTTGAAGAACGTTCAGTTTAGTTCTGGAGACACACACACACACACACACTCAAAAAAATGTTTTTGTCTATTTGAATCCAAAAGATTTTAATGCATTTGTCCAAAATGTTTCATAAAAACTTCCTTGAGTTTCATTGATAGAATGTAGATTTTTATCAACTTGTTTAAAAATGTGTTTTCTTTTTAATAAATGATATTGGGGGCCGGATAGTGATTGTCCAATGGCCCTCAGGCCATATGTTGCCCATGTCTGCCAAAGATTAATCGGTAAAGGCACATCAAATAAGTATTTACTGAGTTTCATTAGAATACGTCCAGGGGGTTCATGAGATGATTTGCTAATCATACAGAAAAACATTGTGACAGTGGATTATCCTGCTTCTCTGTTGTGTAACGTGTCAAAACAAAACACGCCCAAAAAAGTATTGCGTGGAGTCCCAGAGCAAACGTGCAGAGATCAAGCCGAGTAACATCATAACTGTTGTAACGTGTTTGGTTTAAAGCAGCAAACGGCGCGGCGGGGTGAGCTCAGGAAGAAGAGGGTCAGGCCTGATACAGTATCCGAAGGATTAGTGCAGCGCCAGCGAACAGCCACCACAGCTGGCAGCCGTGTGGAGAAATCCCCACACAAAGCCCTCACAAAAACTCACACAAAGGAAGACAGGTCAATGCCCGGACATGCTCGATTTTACACATTCACACCTTAAAGGGCAGTTTAAACCTTTTAAAGTGGGGATGTGCTGAGCGTTTTGAACAAATACTATCTTACCTATTGTAGATAACTCTTTGAACGACTCCGGTTTAGAGAGATACCATTAAATTCTGACTGGTTTGATTACCTAACGACTAATCTTAACTGGATCTGTACACTCTTGTCAATTTTGAATGACCATATAATTATTTGGTTATTGCAAACATAAATGGGGCAGCAGCAGAAATAGCACTCGCTAGCTTACAGCAGGAGTATCATCATATTTATGCCAGAATACGAATATAATCCATTTTCAGAGGTGGTATAAAGGTTAAAAATATAAAAGTTGCACCAGCTGCTATAACATTTTTGAAACTGAAGTTGCTTTAGGTAGGCATCAACAACAGGTAAGATATTGTTTACAATCTTTCCATAAAACTCCCCTTCAAAAGAGCTGAATTAATAGTTCTGCTCCGAACGGCTCAACGACCGTTGGTTTTGAACAGGAACAGAAACGTTCTTCAAAATGTCACCAGAAAACACATTTCTGCAGGAACAGAAACAAACTTTGAACAGTTTCTGTCACGAATCCACCTGATCTTAAAGTCGTATACCAGAAACGGCAAAAAGTTATTCAAAAAACGCTTCGATGCATATTTTAACGCAACTTCTCGCTTTTCAAACTTTGACGCAAACAGAACATTCATTCCGAATGCCATGAAATAAACAGCATAAGTGCATCTTCTTGTTTGTGTCTCTGCTGCAGTATGTTGTGTGGTGGTATAGCACAGTGCATGTGTGTATTTGTGCACACCCGTATGTGTGGATAGTGTTGCACAGTGGAAGACGAAGCACAATAGGAAGCATACTGTGTGTCAGGATCCAGTTGCAATAGTTTAAGCGCCTAAAGGCCGCTGCGTTTGACTTGTCAGGGAATATATGGCTATATTTAGCAGGTGATCATCATATCAAAGTCAAATGATGTGATGGAAGTGGGAATTAATGGGCAAAACAGGCAGTGAAATAAAACTGCAATTAATTTCCCCATTGAGGATCAATAGAGTACAATAAAAATACAGAGAGGTTTTAATATAAAGGTTTTATTTTGAAAAGTAAATCATGTCCTTTGTTGTGCTGGAATCATAAAAGACAAGTTGTGAGCAGTTTAATGCATAACTGACAGTAAAGTACATAAAATGTGTGGATGTTTTGGCACGTGGCTCGGAGCAATTTACATTTCGGTAAAAATGATTACGGACTTCTAACACAAACAAGGCGTAAATTGTAGGGGGAATGTTTCAAAGTAAAAGAAGGTGTGTTTTGGTCTGAGGATCCCATGGAGGCCGGTGCGTCTACGATGCGCTCGCCTTGGAGGCACATTGGCTCTCACTGATGCTGTTGGCCATGTAGCCAATCAGGGTGAGGTATTCCTGGAAGCCGACTTTTCCGTCGTTGTTCTCATCCAGACCCTTCTGCATCTCCTTGATGGCTGAGCTCTTGTTTGTGTCCTGTATGGAAAGAAGCAGAACAGAACCACTTTTAGTGAGATGAAAACAGCTCTACATGATTTGGTATACAGATAAATTACTTGTGTACATCAATAATGACTGATAACCACACACACACACACGCAAAACTAGTACACAGTCTGACCTCCATGATGCCCCCGAGATGTTTCTGGATCAGTTTCTGGAAGGATTTACTGTCTAGGCTGTCCTTTCCCCCGGCAGATTTAAGAAACGTTGTCACCACGGTCTTTATGGCTGACTCCATGTTTCTACAAGAAGAAAAGTCAACATCAGCAACGTCTGAGTGTAAGAAGCAGGAAGGAGAGAGAAGGCGTTTTATTAGACATGGGGTCCCCAAAGAGCAAAATACAGTCCAGATCAGACTCCAGAAAAAGTACCTGAACCCAAGTGAATTGATAAAATTCAGTAGCATTAAACGTATACCTTTACTTGTGCACTTTTCTTTTTTTACAAATTTACAGTAATTTATTTCAAGCAGCACTTTTCTAGCATTTATTGTAATTCATTTTTATAAGAGCTGCCCCCCCCCCTGCTTCTACCTTTTCAGGTCACGGGGGTCACTGGTGCCCATATCCAGCGATCACTGTGTAAGAGGCGGGGGACACCCTGGACAGGTCTCCAGTCCATCGCAGGGACACATATAGAGACAAACGAGACAAACAACCATTCACTCTCTCACTCACACCTAAAGACAATTTAGAGTTACCAATCAGCCCAACATGCATGTTTTTGGTCTGTGGGAGGAAACCGGAGTACCCGGAGAAAATCCACGCATGCACGGAGAGAACATGCAAACTCCACCCAGAAGGGTCCCGGGCCAGGATTTGAACCGACGACCTTCTTGCTGAGAGGCAACAGCTTTATCAACTTATCCACCGTGCCGCCTCACATTCAGTGTAACTCATGATAAGCGGTGCAGCTTTTTAACGTTTTATGGTTATTTATTGTATACGGTGCAGCTTTTCTAAGAGTTATGGCAATTTATTTTAGACCCCCCCCCCCACTTCTAGCGTTTTATGGTAATAAATTTTGGGTGGAGCAGCATTTACAGTAATTTCCACGATTGTGCTACAGTTCCTGTCAGTCAGCTCAGAGGTACGGGCTTTACAAGACATCGCGGTGAGTGAAGAACACCAGCAGCAAGAGTTTAAACTCGTATAGTTTGGACCTTTCTCAAGCGGACCTCTCTGAATTTCAAACAAAGACCACCGTGTTAAACTGATTCTGAAACAATGAGTCATTTGTGGCAGTCCTTGCAAAGACTTTATTAAAACACATTTTCACCATGCAACAGTTTTAATGTTTTGCTCGTTGGATGTTATAGATTCTCTTTCGTCCACAAAATGGTCGTCCTGAGACAACGATAAATTAACAACTGTTGAAAATATTTCATCTCTTTATGGCAACTCGAGAAAAATAAAATCTGAGGGACGTTCTGAGTTTTTAGAAATGAAGACGCTTCTAGAACAAGAAATAAAATTAAAACAGGAAAAAAACGATGCTACGTTGTTAAAAATGTTAAAAGGTCAGATCAGGACAAGGACAATTAAAACTAAAAAGTTCCTGGAGAAACTTTGACGGGGACTGATAGGCCGCTGCCGATTTAAATAGTTGATTTGACTGTACTGTGTTGGGGTTCGCTCTCAGCTACCAATATATCGAATTTCAGCTGAATCGCTTTAAAAATGGCAGAGTTATCATATTTTTTATTTTGTAGCTAAGGCGGCCATCTTGGGTATTTAATTTGCATTAGAAATGCATCACATTGGCAATCCAATCGCAATGCACTGCCTCCATGCAATGCAATGGCAGTCACCAACAATAGTTCAGGTCTTTTGAAGTACAGTTTTATGGAAAAGTTTTAAACAATTATTATCTTACCTGCTGTAGATAGTTAGTTTGAAGAAACAGAGCTTAATTCTGACCAGATTGGCAAGCTAATGGCTAATTCAAGAGGCAGTCAATACCAATAAAGATGCTGCCATCTTAAACTGACAGTAATATAAAAGTTGATCCACACCAATCACGTGAATCCTTATGGTTTCTTTGAGATTAAAAAGGTTTTAGGTCAACAACACAGTCGTAAAGACTAGCCACTAGCTTGCCAATCTCATCTAAATTAAATTAGTTCTACAACAGGTAAGATATCATTTGTTCATAACTTTTCTATTAACTCCCTTTTAGAAAATATTAATCATCTCTTTAAAGCTTAAAAACCTGAAATGTGTTTATTTGTTAGACCCGAAGAAGGATTTTTATGACTATGAGGAAGTTCACCTAGAATTCCAGCAGTTTACAAATGAATTGTTGAAAACACAAAATGACTTATTGTAAAGTGGTTCCGATTATGAAACAATGTTTGAACTGAATATGTTCAAATGCACATATGCGAAAGATGAGAAGGAGCTCGAGCAAGATGGATAAGAGGAGTGTCCAAAAGAGCAAAGGATGCAGCCTGAAGTTTGTCTGATGTAAACAAAGGTAGAAAAAAAATAAAACTAAAATAAAAGAGGGTGTGATGGGGGGGGGGGGGGGGTGTCTCTAAGGTAAGCACAAAGGAAGCAATAACCCCTGACAATAGACATCTGATCCTAAAAAACACTTGTTGGGCTCGAAGTTCAGATTACACCTCCTGCTCCTCCTCACCTGGCTCACACACACCGCCTTCAAAACATCACCTTGACCAGTGGAGCAATAAACAACAATAAATTTTTAAAAATTTAAAGCGTCTGCTTTGATTTCAGGGTGTTTGTATGTGACACGTTTGAACGGTGACGTCGTTTTCTGGGGCTCCTGAGCGGAGCGGAGGCAGTGTTTGTAACAGCTGCGCTTCTTCTGCAGCGATCAAGATCTGCTGGAAAACAGTTTCACAAACAGGCCGCGCAAATCAGCCTGAGGTGGTGAAGACAAAACTTCAATAAGACTGCAGACACAAACACGGGTTAAACCTGTGGGAATCAAAACAGAACGAGTCATTCCATAAAGTCGATTTACTTTTTTGTTGTTTAGGAATATAAAACGACTTCATTTAAACCATTCTGTCTAGTAAGTTATTTAAAGAGGATCTTCTTCTTCCAGCTGTTCCCTCTTCAGGGGTCGCCACAGCGAGTCATCCTCCTCCATCTCACTCTGTCCTCTGCATCCTCCGTGCTCACTCCAACTACCGTGTTTTCTGGCGTATAAGTTGCATCAGTCAAAAAAAGCATCACGAAGAGGAAAGAAAACGTATAGAAGTCGCTTCGGCGTATAAGTCACATTTATTATGCATCACCGCTGACCCATCTAATTTATTATGCGTTTATTTAATGGTCAAAACAGCTTAATTTCACCTGGGCGGTGTGATGCCATCCATCCATCCATCCATCCATCCATCCATCCATCCATCCATCCA